AAGTCTCAAAGATACAGATATTTCAAACCTAAATTATCAAATCCATGACAGGCATCTTGAAGGTCATTTGTTCACTGCAACACAGAGTTTTTTTTTTACTAAGGTATCATCGATATACACTCTTATGGAGGTTTCACATGAAAGACATTGTGGTTACTACATTCACCCATATTATCAAGTCCCCCCCACCCTGTTGAAGTCACCGTCCATGAGTGTAGTAAGATGCCACAGAGTCACTACTTGCCTTCTCTGTGCTACACAGAACTGTGACATCACCAGGACCATGAGCTTCATGAGGGAGCCTTTCTCTTGTTTAGATCCCATTGATGTGACTCCTGAGGAAACTAAATGGAGAATGGCAGCTTCTCAGTGTTGCTATCAATCCTACATAAATCATTTGGTGGGAGATACATTTGTAGTCTGTGATAAGCCCCAGCCATAGATCACAGTCACTTCTCCATGTAGCTGAAGAGCATACTTTTGGAAAGTGAAAACTTTGTCAAATGATGTTTTTTATTAATGCCAGATAAAACATTCAATTATGATGCCTTTAAAGTTATTGAATGATGAGTCCATGTTAAAGTGGTTCTTGTGATCAGTGGGGAGGGTTTCATTGGCTTTTTTTTAATGCGAAGTTTTTAAAGTAAAGAAAATAGATTATAAGCCTATAAAATTATAACTCATCAGAATTGCAAGATAGCTATTCTTGTTCCTTCTTTACCCATGAAAATGGTGGCTTTGCCGAGGTCACACGTATAACAAGAGATGGAAAAGCATTTGGATGAGGCTGGTGTTACAGGTCCCACTCTGAGTACGACTACTCTGCCCACTGCTGAGGCTCTGAACTGGCAGGAGAGCTGCTGAGGAATTGCTAAGGCTGTGTGACGGCTTTTCTGGGGAGGAGGGGGAGTGGGGCAGGAGTCTGTCTTCCCTTCCTCTGGGATCCCCATTTTCTCACCTGTTAGAACAAGGCGAGTGGTCATTCCAGCTGGTTTGCTTGCCTGTGTGTTCATGTCTATTTGAGAAACACCAAAGCAAAATTATATAATCCACATAATAGATTAGATCCCATTTACAACAAAGAAACACTAGCTTAGTAAAAATATGTGGGAACACTTCAGTAATAAGCCCCAAATGGAAGACTGCTAGGCTAGTGGCAATCCTTCTGTGTCAAACCCAGTCCACTGAATTCCTGTGTCTTTAAAGACATGTACAGCTTATTGGTATCCAAAGGGACTGTTAACAGTTTTATATAAGACAAAAATATGCAATTCATTAAAATTACACAGTACTAAGGTAATCACATAGGTATACATACACATACGTACATCCCAATATGTGAATATAATTAAAAACATGAGTATTTTGTATCATATGTAGATTCTCGTAAGTTACAAAGAGTGTGTTCTGAATCTCCTGTTTTCAGACTATTAACCAATTATTCTCACTTGAAATATGTCTTAAATAGTATTTCATATAAATCCTATTAAAACAAAAGTAGAAATCCCTTTTGAGCTGTGGCATTGTCATTATATACCTTAAGAATAGTCCTCAGAGTTTACATTTAGTAAGCAAAGTACTTCAGAAGGAAGTAATGATATATAAGAAAAAACAATTTATCCTTACTAAGAAATAAGTTGGTTACATAGTTCATACTGAGGTGTAAGATTTTTGCCAGCTACACTCAAATAAATACTGACTTCATTTTAAAATTGAATTACAAGTTTGGGATTAAAGTGGCGACTGTAGGAACTCCCCTCTTGACTGTTTATCTAGGTGTCTTGGACATGGAACCTGAGATAGAATGAAAAAAGCAGTGCAGAATTGGGCAGGTGAGTGGCCCCTGCCAAGTGCATAGACAGTAAACAGCAACAGCCAAGGCCACCAGGTGGCCCCATCACGTAGCGCTGCCCTCCAGGCGGGAGTGGGTGATTGCATTACTCGTCAGACATTATCTCCCGTAAATCAGTATCCAACCTTTAGAGTTGGTTTTACTGGAATGGTTTTGTAGCTGAAGGAACTGCAGCTTGGGGCAGAAAGAGCTGTAGGCCTTGTGCTGGGAAGAGATGGAGCTGGGAATTGCTGCCCCACCCATGTGAGCCTCAGGGGGCTCTGCAAAGGCAGGGGGTGCATGCGTCTGACTACCCTCAGGAGCATGAGGCGGTGAAGATTCACCTGACCTTGGCATTGCAGTTGTTAATAAAAAGTGGAGTAGGGCAGATCTTACTCTTCCATTTAACAAGAGAGAAATGATTGAGTGCCTCCAAGTTGGTGTTTCATTCATTAGGCCAACAGGTATTACAACAACTGAGACATGCATTTGAGTTTTCTATATTCTTAGTTCCATCTGTTCATACCAACAGAGACCCCCCTGGTGATCATGGTTTACAGACCTGATTATTAATTTGGCTTTTTGGTTTGGTTTGGTTTGTTTGTTAAGCCTGGCCTAGTATTGTAGGAAGCTAAAAAAGCAGGCATTGTTTTTGATTAAACTAAGAAGAGCTGTGCCCCTGGGTTGCATGTTTGTATCTGGCTGTTTGTTACAGCTCCTTGGCAGGTGAGTTTGTCTTAGTGCCTGTAGGCACACCAAAGTCCTAGCTCTTTTTTTCCCTAATTAAGTGAAAGACTATTATGTGAATGTCTTTGACCCTCTGGATAATAAAATGTGGTGATATCAAAGAGTGCAGAAGTTTTTATGAGTTCCAAAAAATTTGATAGAATTTAATTCATTTTAACATTTGATGAATTTCAAAGAAGATGCACAACAGCTGAGGGCCCTTACTGTTTGTTCCCATAGCATAAACTGGTTCGGTTTCTGGATGGGCCAACTTCCCTGTGCAGATGTGTAATGGTTAGGAACACCTTAGGTTATTGTGGCTTCCGTGTAGCATGGCCGTCTGTGAAAACTGATGAAGAATAAATGACATCAGTTTTACAAATGAATGTAAAGTTTCCAAATCAGAGGTTGGCCCTGTGAGTCTAAAATTCTCAAGAGCAGAAAGAGCTGGTTAAAATCCTGGTCCATAGGAGGCCATAGCAGGTTCCAGGGCTTGCGGGGAGAGAGAGAGGAGCCCAGCGTTTGGGTGGACTTTGAAAGTAGAGACAACAGGAATTGTCTGCAGATGAGTTGTGGTTTTTCAGTCCATCCTAAAACTTCCTAAATATTGATGCTTGGGTGTTAATGTTTACAAAGGTGGACAAGATGATGCTGTGATTTTTGTTCACGGAGCTGAAGAATGAACTTCGCAAACACTCAAAGTAGGAGAGCAAGTGAGAGGCTTTTATTTAGAGATAAAGTGAGAGGATAGAGCTCTTGGCTCAGGCCAGGAGGGGATAAGACAGTCTGGTGGGGTGTTGTCTAGGGGATTTACAGGCAATTGAGAGACAAAGGGCTAGGGATGCAGAGCTGCTAAATGGTCCCCAAATGCTTATCTTTGAAGAGACACTAAGTTTCTTATCCATCTTCTGGGTTATTTTTGCAAAGTTAACCTAACACAAGAAATTTACTGCTTTGATTCTTTCCCAGAATAGCAGCTTCTTGGTCTGGTAGCATATCAATCAGGGCTGCCTGTCCTGCTCCCAAGGTGGACTGAGTTATTGTCTGTTATGTTAAGAAACTTACTTTTTGACTTCTTGGGTTTTAAAGTGCAGTCTTATCTTTAAGATGGAGTCCTTCCTGTTTTTACTATGTTGTTTATGACTGGGCTTGCTTGCCATTATTATTTGCCTAGGTTGCAAATTATTTGATTTAGGGGTAGAGGAAGAAAAGCAGCATCTGGGTAAAGTTAAAGAAAATTAAGCTGGGCAACTTTTAGCAGGCTAAAGTAAATCTTAAAATAGCCTGATTTAATTGACACAATGAAGACATGGGCTATGCTGAGGTGTTTTCTTATCTGAGGGATATTCAGATATTTCAGGCCAAGTTACTCCTGGATTTTTAGTTTTAATTAATCTCAGAGTAGAATGTTTATATTACTTTAGAGAATTAATGTGACTCTGACTTTGCTTAGTTGTTTAATATGGACCCTACTCTGTCTAAACCCACAGTCCCTGTCTCAAAGACAATATGGTGAAAGGGCAGTGGACTTGCTAATAGGGGGTAGCCAAATTCCTATCATCTGTAAGCCTCCCATCTTTTCACATAAAAGTATAGAATACTTCAGTATACATGTTAAAAGATTGGCTTGCCAGGATAGGGTGTAGAGGCTGTACAGGAACATGCTGTGTGTTGGAGTTTGTGCTGTGTTTTGTTAATATTCTCGTGCATATGTAAGTCTTATCTTCTTAAAGAATTGGTTAAATTATTAGTAACATATTTATGATCAACATGTGTATTAACAGCAATGTCATCCCTTTTGATGGCTTCCTTGTAGGCTGATATCTGCATTAAAGAGAACACCAGGAGAAAGCCACATATTCCTTCTAAGGACTTCATTTTCTCCCATGCAAGCCTCTCCTAGCATGAAGGCAGAAGCCTGTGGCTGATGGTATTGGCGTGTCCCCTAAATGCTGTTGACTTGAGGCCACCTAACAGCAATGAGATGGAAATCCAAACCAAAGGGCAGAGTCATGGTCATGCTGGATAATAGCTATTCTTCCTCCACAGAATATTTTAATTTTCTTAGACTTGGTTTTGCATTTATAAGTTAAGGGTTTTGAACTAGAACACTGTCCAGGTCACTTCTAACTCTCAAATTGCAGGATCTGGGGTTTTTAATTCACATTCTGCAAGTTACTGTTGTGCTTCTTTGCTCTGATGTGCAGTTGTGTGTGAGTGTCATAACTGCTTGGAGATGAGGGGAATGGTTTAGGGGTTGAGCAATTTTCTAAAAGCAAGCCTTCTAGGGTAGCAGGTTTATAGCTGGCTTAATGGTGCCATTGAAATTTAAACTGTCCTGCAAATAAGAACAGTTTAGACAGTGGTGACAAATCCAGGCACTGAAGAGAGGTTTGATGTCCCTCTTAAACATTAACAGAGTTTCTTCTCCATTTTCTTACAGAGTTTTCCAGGAAACACAAACGCAGACAGTGTGGTGCACTACAGACTCCAACCTCCCTTTGAAGCCAGGTTCCTGCGCTTCCTCCCCTTAGCCTGGAACCCTAAAGGCAGGATTGGGATGCGGATTGAAGTGTATGGATGCGCTTACAGTAAGGATGTTTATTCCCTGATTGAAACCAGTGACATGTTCTAAATGCCAAATTGAAAACTGAACTTGTCTTTGGCCGCCTTTTAACTCTCTATGCATGGAGAACTGGCTTTTTTGGAAGCCCTAATAACACTGTCCTTAGCTACTTTGTAATCTGATTCAGGGCTTGATCTACCCCAACAGAGCCTACATTCTCAGAAATTGGCATAGAACCTGCCTTACCGTGGGCACTTCATAGAGCTAGCCGAATTCAGATCAACAGCAGTGAATTACTGTGATATGTTTGTTTCTGACACAGATAACCCGCCTGTGGGACACAGGTGATTACAGATACCCCATGACCCCCAAGCCCCAGGACTCACTTCTCCCTCCACTTTGCTCTACCTGCATCCCTGCGGCACCTTTTGAACATCGTGTATGTATTTTGTCTTCCCCCTTTTCTCCAGGGACGGTACTCATAGGCAGAGCCGGCAGCCAGCAGGAATGTCAAGCCAAGCGTAAAAGTGTTCAGGGAAATAAGCGGGGGAATCAACTCCACACTTACCATTTTGAATATAGTAGTATTTCTCAAATTAGTACAGAAGTAAAAAAAAAATTTTTTAAAGATAATCCCTTAGAGAACTGGAGAATAACCCAAATAGTAAGTTGGATGGGAACATCTTGTGAGGCTGGGTTTTGGTCACACCTCACTCTGTACTTGATCAGAGCTTCTGCTTCTCAGAAAAGTATAACAATGAGATCTACCATCTACAGAATATTTCCTGTGTAAATACAGAGTATTTACCTCCTGCAGACATTCTCTCATTCAGCGTCCACCAACCAGCTGAATTCGGTATAGTAGTAACTTCGTTGCCTCAGAGGAGGAAGAAACTGAACGTTGGAGAAACTAAGACTTGTGCGGGAGCCATTACATACTGGACCTAGGATTTAAAAGTTATCTGTTTTCCCAAACTTGGTTCTTACAACTACTGTACTATCAGAAAGTTATTTCTTTAGTCCTTACTTGTCATGTAAGAATTTATCAGAGACTTGCCCTTAGTGGAGAACTATGTTAGGTATTGGATGTGGGGGGCACGTCTAAAATTACTCATTTCTTTGTTAGCATTTTATAAGAAGTCAAAAAATTATACAAAACAAATGTAAAATACTGTAACTTGAATATGGGGCACGAGGAGTGGAGTCATCAGTTCTGGACCCATCTGTTGTATTGGAAAAGGAACCTGTCCAGCAGTCACTTCCAAAGTGAAGGGGTGCGGAGTGGGGTGGGTGGTGCTCATACCAGGAAATGACTGCGTTCACTGTGGAAGCAGAACTTAGGCTTCTTTTGGCGAGGGTGGGGAGCAGGCCAGGGGGCAGGGGCATGGGCACTGGGGGTGCAGGGAGATGCTGAATAGCAGTACTATAATTTTCACTTTGGTCACTCCACACGTAGTGAGAGGTTCTGGAGGCGAGGCACACCCAAACAGTCCCATCCCAGATTCCAGGGTGTCCTTCTGCCTAGGCTTTGTCCCACTTCCTATTTTCACTCTGTTTCCTAACCCTGCCTCTGCTCTCTAGTGTTGATAAATCCATGGAACTTTTAGCATTGTTCTCAACCTTGTCTCCCTTTTTCCAGTGGTCATGTCCTTCCGTCCTCTTGTTTCTGGGATGGATGAATGTGCTCACTGCTGTAACAGCTAGATGCCTGATACTTAGTTTCTCTTTGATGCTATGAAATTAGCTTCTCCTTCTCCCATTTCTCTGGAAACAACTTAAGGTTTACTGACTTCAAAGCACAATATGCTCTTTGATGGGGATTTGCGATTAGCTTGATGTTCTTGAGGAGATATTACTCCAGTTTTTTGGGCTAGAGGTCGGTACCAGGAAGATCAAAGCCATGTGCTGGATCCCCGGAAGGGCCAGTTACCTGCACAGCTGTCATGGGTCCTGCAGGCATCCAGAATTCAACAAACATGAACGGTTAGGCACACAGGGCTCCTAGCATAAAAATGCAGAAGATAATAATCACCACTAACTAATAAACAATACAAAGTACATTCCTTCATAGTAGTGTCTCTGCATTTTTATTACTAATAAGAGTAATTGTTCAGGCATAGAGTTTTGCATTATTGTTTTTGACAGTAATTTAATATGATACGGTTTATAGCCAAAAGTGATAATTATTTTTTTCATTTGCATTTCCACTGCTGTGTTGATATTGAGAAAATGTACAAATTGTTTATCTTGGTACATAATGTCTTTCACATGCAACTTCTCTTTTCAGTTTTGTTTTTTTATATCCCATTTACAGCAATACTATTCCTGTAAACATGGTGCCTTTGCATTGCTTCCTGGCTTGGTGTATACAGTTTCTCCACCTGAAAAGCCCCTTCCCCCATTTCCAAAGTGAGATGGAGTGTGGGGGCTTGCACACCATAGGCAAGGTGTGGGCACACCTCCCTCACCTCTCTCCAGCAATGCTGCCTGTCTGGTGTCTGCATTCCCTACAAACTTGTTCTGGGCTTCGTACTACACTTGAATTAAAGTCTCTCTAGGTTTTTTTTCCCCCACTTTCTTAAGTTTTTAGTAACATGTGCCTATTGTCTGACCAGTTCTAAGTGGACATCCTCCATGCACGTCTTAAAGCCCCAGATGCCCAGTACTGGCACTGTCCCCAGCTCTGCCTTCATTTATTTAGTGAGATTGTTACTCATTTTCTGTCCCTTCTTTTCTGCAATCTGCATTGCCTCCCTGACATGCTCCGGTGTTCCCCTGGTGCCTTACACTGTGCCCATCATACTGTGTTGTAGTAGCCCCAGTATTGTCATGTAATTTTATGTTTATTAGTGTGTTTTATTGTTCAAATAAGAGAGGGAAGGAAGGAAGGAAGGTGGAAGGAAGGCAGGGAGGGAAGGGAGAAAGAGAAGGGAGAAAGAAAGGAACAGATAGATAGGCCCAAATATAGAGCCCATGAGAGTCTACCAGCTATCCATGCGGCATGCCAGGACTTTGTCAAATCAGGCATTGAAAATAAAATGGCTACAGAGGGAAGAGGAGAAGGGAAGAGAATGTTTAATAGGATGGTTTAAAAAACCGGTTTGTTTTAAAAAGCAGTGACTGTTGTAGTGAAAAACATGCAGGTTTTATTTAACTACTTCAACATGTGTCATTTATAAACCTGCTGTTAACATTCTATAATAATAATGGACACATATTTAGAGACATTTAAGATTATTGAAGGAAGAGTCTAGATACAGAACTTCCTGTTCCTTCCTGGTCCTATTCTAGGTAGATTTCAATTTAGAAAGTACATCATAGGGATAGAAGAACGTGGACTGAAAGTGGACATGGTCACCTTGGCAAAGAAAAACACTGGAAATTAATGATGGTCTTTAGTCCTAGGAGAGAACGCTCATTTGCATTATCCTCTCCAGTTGTAGACAAAGTAGGAAATAGGCAAACCCGATTAGAAAGAGTATTGAATATAAGTTTACAGAGCTACCCCCTGGGAGGCACCCTGCTGAGAAAGAGGACTTAGGCACAACTTCTGTCCCGCAGGTGGGAAGGAGGCTCCATAGGGTGGGGAAATGGCTGCATTTGGGAATGGGTTTCTAGATTTGAATAAATGCACCTAGATTTATTGTTTGTTTGTGGTCAGTTTTTAATGTCCTTCAATTGCTATTCTTGATAATTTTTTCCCAGTTTTACATTCTTTTTGGGAGAGAGGATTTGCCAGGCTTTCTACTCAGCCACTTTTAGATGTCTTACCCTTTACCCCCTTGATTATTTTTAAGGACATTTAAATTATATATATCTCCATGTAAATTCTGGAGTTTACTTCCTTTGTATTTTTCCTTTCTTTGTATTGACTCATATTTCCATGTATCATTTTCATTCTACCTCAAAGACTTCCTCTAACATTTCTTGGTGTGCAGATCTGATGAGGACTTCTTTCAGCTTTTGTATGTCTGAAAAGTTTTTATTCTACCTTCAGTTTTGAAAGTTACATTCACTCAGTATAGAATTCTAGGGTCACATTTTTTCATTCAACTCTTTCAAGATGCTGCTCTGATGTTTCCTCACCTGCCTCCTTCCAGTGAGAAAGCTGCAGCCATCTATATCTACATATCTGAGAGTGACATGTCTGTTCCCCTCTTGATGTTTTTAAGATTTTAAACAGTTTGTTTCTGATGTGCTTGGGTTTTCTTTATTCTCTTTCTTGTGTTTGTAGATAAGTGGGCTATTTGGGTTGATGGGGTAACAGTTTTCATCATTTGGAAAGTTTCAGCCATTGTTTCTTCAAATATTTTTCCTAAGCACCCCTGATGCTGGGGTTCTTATTCATGGAGTTGAAGAATGAACTTCGCAAACACTCAAGGTAGGAGAGCAAGAGAGATGCTTTTATTTAGAGATAAAGTGAGAGGACAGAGTTCCTGGCTCATGTCAAGAGGGGACAAGAGAGTCCATGGTCGTGCACTGTCTAGGGGTTTGATAATGTGATAAAGGGCTAGGGGTGTGGCCTGTTAAGTGGTCCTAGAAGGTTCATCCTTGAGGAGACATTAAGTCTCTTTTCTCACCAGTCTTCCAGATAATTCTGCAAAATTAACATAAGTTTACTGCAGATTTCTTTCCCAGAAAGGCAGCTTTTTGGTCTGGGAGCATATCAATCATCAATCAAAACTACCTGCCCTGTCCTCAAGATGGGCTGTTATTGTCTGTTTGCTAAAGAGTTTAAAAGGCAATCAAAGATGGAATCTTTTCTTGCTTTTACTATGTTGTTTATGGCTGGGCTTGCTGACCATTATTAATTGCCTAGTTAGCAAATCACCTGATTAGGTCTGAAGGAGGAAAAACAGCACATAGACCTGGCCTTTTAGCATGCTAAAGTGAATCTTATACATAATTACAAATGATTAGCCTAATAAAAACATGGGCTACTTTCTTTTATCTGGAGAGTATTAACTGATCTCACTGAAGAGTGTGACTCTAGAGCTTCATGTTTGACCCGGAGTTTTGGCAGAG